CCTAAACCCTAATCCCTAAACTGAAAACTTGGAGGCCTGCAGATGTCCCGGCGACTTTGCCTTCATCTTGGCCGCATCGCCTGCTGCATGGACCCAGGGATGCTGGGGTTGGGCGGGCGGGGTATACCCAGACCCTCCTATGTANNGTATATTACAATCCCTTACCCAAAAACCATAACAAACCCAAAAAGGAACTACATTGGAGCCCTTGGGTAAGGTCTTGGGCAGTTAAGGGCTCGGGGGTCCTGGAACATGCTGGGGATATATTTCGGGTAACTTGGTATATGTTCTAGAGGATACATGCGCCTTAATTGCGACCCAGAAGACTTTGCCAGAAAGTCCTCCCAAGTGGGGTTAGAGTTCAGGGGTTGGGTTTAGGGTGTTAGGATGTAGCATTTTAAAGTACAAGAGATACGCCCATCTTCGTGAATAGACTCCATCTGTGGATGGCTATATGATGCGGATGGCTATATGATGTAAATCTCTAACTGGACAGTACGTCCAAAACCTTGAACGAAAGAGCCCACACTTTTCATCCAAGGCCTAGACGAGTAATCCCCGATTATTTCCTCAATTAAATTCTAACCCTGAATCTTCAAGGGTCTAGCTGGTACATCTCTGCCCTGCCGGCCTATGGAGAGGAGGCCCCAGAAGAGGAAGCAAAAACTGCTTTGCGCCCGCATTCCTCAGCTGCGCTTTGGGGGATAATATATGTAGGTACGTAAGGATATTCAGGACTTAGGGATTTAGGGATTAGGAAGTTCGTGATTGTGGTTTAGGGATTGGAGCATCATGGGGTTTATAGGGTTTAGTTGGTTTAGTGGTACTGAGTCTGCCCTGGAACTCCGAATAATTGATCTTAGCTGCTTGTTGCCGGGTTTAGGCCAAGCACTGTTTCCAGACATCCCCAGCAGCAGGCTTTGCCTGACTTACATGGGACTAGATGAGGTCCCTCAGCGGCCATCCTTGATCACGATGCCTTGAAATTTCATCTTCTTGGACGAGGTTAGGGGGTTGGGTTGAAGGCCTTGGGCTTAAAGTTTAGCAACTTGGACCACCTATGACAGCGAGAGGTTTCAATAACATCGGCCCGCTAAACCTGGGACTGTCAGCACACGGTGCCACAATACCATCCCAACCACGGCTTAAGGAATTCCTCAACCCCAAACGTATGTGGAAAGCAGGCTTTGGGGCTCTTTTTGGGGCTTTAGGCCATTAACTGTTGGGGTCAAGGTTTTAGCAGACGCCCACTTGGGGGTAGAATTTTGAATGGTTGAGCAGCTGAAGCGTGCTGACCCAAGCAAGGTTACGATCTTCTTCGTATGATATACCATAGCAATCAGGAGATTGTGTACGGCATCCCCATTCGAAATAGAACGCTTAACCCTAAGAAGCTTAGGACGCAACTTTGGCAGTCGGCAGCTTCGTTGATCAGGATTGCCTGAGCGGAAGAAGGACGTGGCATTCGCGCTTAGGGGCTCGGATGCAAGGTTTAAGGTTTAGGAGGTTGGGGTTGCGTGATTCAGGATTAAGATTGAGCATGAAGATCAAAGATTAGGGCTCAAGATTTCGGGATTTGTCGATCAGCAGCCAAGGATGAAAGCTTCGGAGCGATGAGTTCCGAGATCATCCCCCCAAAGCAAAACCAAAACCCTAAAATCCCTGAAGCCCGAATCCCCAAACTCGAAGACCCTAAAATCCAGACTTCCCCGCAAAAGACCTTTAAAACAGCCCAGCTACGGAGTTAGTTCATGGCGATGACCACAGGAAGTGATCCAGGCCAAAGGCTACAAGGTGCTGTCCACTTGGGCCAGGACCTTGCGAGGACTCAGTGTTTAGGATTTAAAGCTTAGGGTCAGAGGGTTTAAGGTAGGGGTTAGGGTATAAGGTTGAGGGTTTAGGGTGGGAACTATAGGGGTCCCTAGTATGGGCCCTTAACCCTTGGGTCCTTATATTCTTGTTCTTTTCCCCTACAAAGACCTCTGAGCCCCCCCATAGTTAGGACCTGGGAAACACGTAGGGGCCCCCCATAGGAGGACCTGGACTGTTTGGAGGTGTTGGGGGCCTCAGGGGCTGGGGTTAAGTGTGCTGGGCTTCGGCATGAGGAGTCGGAGATATTTGGGGTTTGGGGGGTCCCCATAATAAGTACTGTTTTGGGAACTACCATTGAGGAATTGGAGGGATTCAGAGTGTAGGTTTCAGGTGGCTTAGAATTGAGACTAGCTATTTGATTGCAAGAGTGTGTTTGCGACTTCGGGTTGAGACTTTGGAGCGGGTGATTGAAGATCTCAAAATCCAACGAACTCAGAAAGACATATCACAAGCTTCCAGGGACCTTCAGCATTGCTCCCAATGTCACCCTATACACTCCTATGTAGCCGTATATAAGACCCCTAACCTCTATAGCCCTAAACCCCTGTAAAGATCGCCTCGGCTGAAAGATTTTGGGATAACATCAGAATCCTCTTGGGGTTTCGTCATGAAAGGTTTCAAGGAATGTTTTGAGACCAGATAATCCAGGAGTGAACTTTAAGAAGACGTTGAAGGGATTCGGGCAGTCGCCTGGTCACAAAAGAAATAAATATGGCGAGCAAAGCATGCAAAAGGCGCGAAAACCGCAGGGTTTAGGGTTCAAGCTAAGGTTGTAACATCTGGGGTTGCAGAAGTCACGACCGAAGATCCAAGATCATAGTCTCACGCCCACAGTATCTTGAGGCACACCATGATCTACCTTCGGAAGCCTGGAAATGAGTATGCCCCTTCTGAGGGTGATTAGGCGTTAGGATTGGGGACTGCTATGTATCAGGTTTCCACATGAAGACGGAACAAAGTGTGCGCGACCGGCCGACACAGCTTTTTTTGGATGGACTGACGCTGCGGGATTAGCATCGGCAGGTCTGATCAAGAACACAACTCAGAGCTGAAAACATCCCTGACTGATGCTTAGGACTACATGCATGCGAAAAAATTGCCACAGGACTCAAAAGAGCCAACACAAACTAGAATCGGGATCAGATTCCTGTCGCTCCTTTCAGCGGTCGCACTACGCAGGTGCCGCGTAGTCCTGCCAGCTCAAGTGAGTTCCACCAAATTGCTTTCGAGAGCTACTAGGTGCCAGACATTGCCAAATACCACCACCAACTCTTTCTAAGGGTCATTTCGTCTGCCAGACACTGCAAATTTCACGCTGTTTCTTTTCAGGCCTGCGCCTAATAGTAAACCCCTCCACCCCCTAATACCAGGTAGCACTCCCTCCCCTAGAATACATGGGTGTTTCCCAAATTTCAGGAAACCTTTCTGGGGGTACCCAGAAAAACAATTATGGTATATTGGGGTCTATATTAGGGTCCCCTTATTTTGGGAAACCACCATGTGTGGGGCAAGCCATATTAAGGAAATGGCGTCGGACATGTTGCAAGAAGCTAGCGGCCTCTAGAACCACAATCAACCAGGGGCTTCAACATGGTTAGAACTTGAGCGTTCGCACGGTGAAGGGTTTGGGGTTCCGGTACATAGCTCCTCTGGAGACTTTCAGCCATCTATCTGGGCTGTAGTTCGGATCGTCTTCGGGGTCTGTTGGGGATCAATTCTCACGATTGGGGTCCATTTGCGGTAAAGAGGTGGGTTGCAGTACCGCCGCCAAGGTACTGAATCTGTGCCGTAACGTGGGCACTGACGATTTTTGCCTACTCGTTGTTCTGCTCTTCCGATTTGTCCTATCTGAAGCTAGGAGTCCGTAGATGCCCCGTAAGGAACTGGGATCCCTGTTGTCGAGCACGCATGGAAAGACCTTGAGCCTTCGAAACTTCATCTCCGATCCAATAATCTAAGGTGCCATGTTCGCGAACACTCACAACTTCAAGAAAAACACATACACATATGCACATACACGCACAGCATGAAAACATCAAACAAAGCTACCTCATATTGAAGGATGGGGCTCAGATTCCAAGACCTGGCATCCTTACGCGCGTCAGTCAACTTCAGGTCCCCAACAGCCAGCCCCAAGGCGCTTTCAAGAGACCTAAGGTTTGGGTACTGCCCCCACCCAGTCACAGTCTATATCAGGGGTCCTATTAAGGGCTATATATAACCATATTATAAGTATTATCCAACTGTTAATGAAGGGTTCAGTACCCAACCTAAGGTGGTCATTGCTTTTTCCATGTACTTTTCCACTTGACTTTTCGTCATTCAAAGCCCTCTTCTGAACCCCAGATATCATACCCACGTAACTCGTGGTAATCCCGAATATACTCCCTACACAAAACGAAAGCAACCCCCTAATATGACCCATACACCTCTAAACCTTCCTATAACATACTTACTATAACTGACTATAATATATTATATTATACTATAATATACTATAGTAGATACTATAAGATAGACTATAACATACTACAATAGACTATAATGGACTATTCTAGTACATATTAAATACTAGAATATATACTATTAGATATACCATAATCTACTATTTCAGCCCTAGACTGCCCTTAGGTGTATCCTCGGCTCGGGTCGCTGCACGCTCCACCTTTCAGGCAAAGGTTGTCTTTGGAAGGCGTCCTCTTAGGGTTTAATAACCCAGAAAAGCAAATAACGGAAGAAACTCAACTACTATAACTACTAATCACATACTATTATATAATTGTACAGGGTTTTTGGTGTAGGGTGTAGGGTTTAGGGTGGAGTTTTTGCTTGTTGGCTTTTGCCCTAGACAAACTGTATTCATCTGGGTTTAGGGTGTATAGGGTCCAGCTAAGACTACAAACTTTCGGACGACGCGGACGCTCTGAAGAACAAGTTTGGAATTGCATGGTCGACTTCAACCAAGTGGACTCCCACCAATGATAAAGCCTTAGTATAATCATTCGTTAATAGGTCCCCCACGACCTTCAAGCCTCAAGATATCCCCCCAACCTAATTTTGGTCCGTAGCTCAATGCCAGTTCTTGGATGCAAGAAGGGGAACCACACGAGTGGGCCTTGCCTCCATTTTCACCTCCAGCACCTTCCCGGCTCGCCTGGATGCACCAAGGGTAAGGCCGATGGTTCAGAACTGATTAAGGCACTGATTTGGGATTGGCAGTTAGTGATGAAATCTAAGGTCGGAGGCCTGGGATCTAACATTACCGCCTCAGTCCACTTGCTTAGACGTAGTCTGAAAAGGGTGGGAGGGCGAATGGACTGACATGTCGGCAAACCTTCAGTCTGGACTTGGACCCTTCACAACTTGAACCCAACAAGTTCGCCAAATCTAGCCGTTTTCGCCAGCTGCGACGTGTCTATACAACAACGAAAGATAGCGAAGTGAAGGCCTTGATCATGATCTTGATAGATGACTGCCTTGGATTGTAGCTAGACCCAGCTCAGTATGGTGAAGTTGCTCCTCCCTTTCAATTCCGGGAACACCATTTGATCCAAGACTTTGAGCCAGGCCCTTCAGTATCTTAGGATAGCGAGCTCTATGAAAATCGAAACCCAAGCATGCGGACCCATGTCCCAATCCCTGGAAGAAATTTCGAAATCCCTCACCGCTGAACCCAGATAATGTAGACCCGTGATTAACTAATAAACCCCCTCCCCTCGCCTTAGTAGGGGTTTTAATGGGGATCCTAATCTTAAGGCCCTTAAAAGGAGGGGGGGTTTATCAATCACGGCTCTACATTAACAACTTCTCAGACATCTCCTTATTGGATCCTGGAGGACGACCTCCCTACCATCTTCTCATAGTCTCCCTCTAGCCCAAGGGTCCCTACCCCTAAGTTTGGAGAATCCCCAACACCAAAACCCTCCAAGAAAACCCTAGTCCTGAGCCCTGAAACCTCTACCCAAGATCCATATTCCTACATGAAGTCTCCACTTTTTGAAGCCCTAAACCCTAAACCCTAAATTCAGTCCAGCTCTTGCCTCAGCGTCACAGACAGCGGAGGGTCTCCTGTTCGAGAGTCGCCCAGGTCGCTCAAAGCCTCCCGCATGGACAGGAGATCGACCTTCGGCTCTGACTCTCTGCCGGTCAAAGGTTTGTGAGTTTGAGGTGGTTGGGGGCTAAATGTTTAAGTCAATCAGTTAATTAATTAGTTAGCAGTTAAAGGTTTTTTGGTTTCAGAAATCCCTCAACCCTTAACCCGAAAACCTTGACCTGTAAAGCGGAAACCCGAAGGAGGAGCCCTGGACCAAGAATCTCTGCAAATCCACATGCTCGCAAGCAAGCAATCCCAAACTGTCGCAATCTTGCAAAACCCTTTTTGCACAAAGTAGAGAGCTGATAAGCTTCAAGACAGGTTTAACTGCAAACTGGGGCCCCAAGCCACAGGAACCTGTCCGATGGTCAAGACCTCGTCGCCAACCTGGTATGAAGGCCAAAATTTGACAATGGTTCTACACATTGTGGTGCTGATTGCAGTTCATGGGTCCCTTTAAGTCCCCATATAACCCATTATAGATTTAGGGCTTAGGGATCCCTATATGTAGTAGCTTCCATTTATGGATCTTTTCCATTCCTTCATTCCCAGCTAGTTGCTGTTGCAAGAACTGGAAGCGGCGCTGCTGATGGCATTGCCAGGGCTGGTGCTGGTCCCGGTGCTCGGGCTGGTAGCGGTGGTGGCGGTGGTAGCAGCAGTGGTGGCTGCCGTGGTGGTAGCAGCTGTGCTGGTGGAACCGGTGTGATGGTGGTAGCAGTCACGCTAGTGGTAATGCTCGTGGCTGGGGAGGAGTTGTACTACCAGTGAAAGTATTTAATTTCCACTAAGAGGTTATCTTGCTATGCCTTGTGCTGCCTCCACCAGTCTTCCCGGAATCTCTACACCCCATTCACCATTCTCTAAATTCCATCACAGTGCCCCCGAGCAAGGCCTGCACGCCAGCTGCAAGTGCACCTTTGCCACGCACTGCCTGGATCAGAGACAGTCGGAAGCTGCCAGCTTCTCAAAATCAGAGGTCTGATTTGGGCTGGCTCCTATTATGAAAAGAGATCAAGCCTTTCCAAAGACAGCAGGCAGGACGTGGCACTCAGCTTTATCAAAAAAGAAGCTGCAGCGTGTAGAGTAGTGCTACAAAGAAAAGCAGAAAGCAAGCAAGTCCTCGCCAATGTTTCTGCTATCCGCACTGCTCTGTCTCTTTACGCGTCCAGCTGATTCTGCTAAAGTAGGCATGTGATTCTCCATAAATGCATGACAGGAGAGTGGTTGGATGCAGACAAACTTGAGCTAGGATACCTTTATCCTGCGATTGCCCGCTTAAGTCGCACGGCAGGTAATCGACGGGCACATTTGACTTTGCAGCCTCATGAACTGCTTTGCCGGAAGGATTTTATCCATTGTTATATAGCTTTCTAGCACACATGGTAGTTTGCATCCGCAAGGGGGCCCCAGTATAGACACAAGAATATTAGAATCCGTATTGTAGGCAGGCCCCCCCCCAAAGAAAAAAACGTATCCCAACGTTGGGGACATCCTCTAAACCCTAAATCCTACACAACCCCCTACCCCAATGTTGGGGAAATCCCTACATTTGTTGCCTATCCCAAGAAGTGCTTGGATGCACAACCTGGCTTGAAATCTCATCGACAGCAATGAGCAACCCTACACCCTGTAGTCCCCTTTACGTAGATAGAATATGGGGTATATGGGGATCTTATTAAAATATACCCAAAGCCATAGTCTATCTACTTAAGGGGGACTATACATCCCCAACCCTACACCTGTTTTACTTAGAGACGTAGGGGTTTCCATGAATGACGGATCTCTTTTTGGGTGTATCTAGAACCAGGATTATAGGCATACTGGTGTGATGATATTTTGGGGTCCCCTGTGTTTTGGAAACTCCAACTAGTTAACTGACCGCCAAAGCCGAAGGAAAACACAACCTGGATCCTGCTTCGTAAGGGTTTAGGATTTACTATGGGGCCCCCTTCACCGTCTCCAAGTTCTCACCATCAGCCTTCACGAGAATAGTGGGAGCCAACACAGTCCCACTCTCCTGCAAGCAAAGGGAGACATCTGCCCTTTGTGGCAAAAGTCTAGGGAGCCCGAGTTGAATATGGGATGTGAATGTCAGGGACCCTTTACAGTACATCCATTCTATACTCTCTCCACTGCCTTCATGACTTTTGCTATCTCCCCCCCATGAGATTTGAGGGGTTGGGCGCTGGTGGCCCTGAACCCACGACGGCTTATCTGGACCCTCAAACCTAAATCGAGTAATCACAGGCAGTTGGTATACCCTAAAGGTCAGCCCAACCTCCAGGTAATCCCAACTCCCAAAATCGGAACCCTAAACCCTAAAAAATAAATTAGGACCCTAATCAGGACCCTAAACCCTAAACCCAAACTAGGAACCCTAGAGCTATCACAAGACTGGAATAATAACCCTAAACCCTGAACTCTAAACCCTAAACCCCAAACTCGGGGATATCAGGGACCGTTTTTCGCAGCTCAGGGTGGCCCAATCCTATGATGCTTTCTCCCCAAGCTCACTCCAAACCCATACTTTCAGTTCATTTCTACCCCTTTTCCCTCCCAACTTCTCCCCAAACTCACTCCAAACCCATGCTTTCATGCGGACAGTTCAATGGACAGTTCAATGCTACCCTCCCCCCCCCCCTTCTGATACGATCGTTTTTACCTATTTTGCAATCTGCGCAAGTAGATGGAGCTCAAGTCTAGCTATTGTTCTTCCTGGCCTGTACAATAACCTTCAACCAATCCTCAATCCTGCATCAGACACAGGACCTAAACCCCAAACCCCTAATCCTGAACCCCAAACCCTCAACCCTTACACCTCAAACCTCAGATCCAAAACCTCAGCTGCTCCTGAACCTCCAGTCCCAACGTGGGGGGACGCCAAAGGCAACCGGCCTTCAGAAAGAGGACTCGTCATCGCAAGGTATGGGTTCCAGGCTTAAACCAAAACCCTGAACCCTAAAGGGTTTAGAGTTTAAGGTTTAAGGTTAAACCCTAAACCCTGAAGGGTTTAGGGTGCTTAAGGGAGAGTGGATTCCTCTAATAGCTCCGATATCGTCGCCCTTATCGATGATCTTTCTCAACATCCTCCTGAAGCCCCAAACCCCTAAGCCCTAAACCCTAAACCAAAAGAACCTACTTAAGTCAACCTGGATCCCCTGTTGAGTTGTAAGCCGGGGCTTCAGAGGGTGAGATCTATGACTTTGGGTTCCGGTTCAGTGCTGTGTCTCATCGGTCATTCTGACAATAAGCCTAGACCCAAGTAAAACCAGAACTCAGAATCCCAAACCCTGAATCCTAAACCCTGGACCTTGAACCCTTGAACGCCATGCCTTGAACCCTTAACCCGAAACCCCTCAACTTGGAGACCACGATGCTCCTGACTGAAGGGTTACCCGGGTGCAAGGCTTGCGGTTCAGGGTTTTGGATTTAGGGTGGAGGGTGTAAGTTCATACACCCTTTACCTGAAACCTACACCTGTTAAGAGAGCTTCTGGTCGTAGTGCCTTTGTAATCCCCCACAGTGGTAAGCCTAAATTATCTTGTACAAGCGGTAGTTTCCGCTTTCCATTCCCCAACCTTCCTTTATGACCGGTCTTCCCCAATCCCTACTAAGCATCAGAAAAGTTGTTGTCTAGCCAGTCCAAGTGTAGCTCTCACCACTCAGAGCTCATTGAGCGCATTCAAACACGAACAAAATGTGGGGGATACATATGATGTCTCTCAAGTACAGCTAACATACGTAGGTTTGCCATGCTCCTCATGTTGTGCAAGACCTGTTGCAGAGACATAGATCAGTCTAGAGGGGATGGGCGACGTTTGAAAGAAGCTTCTACTTCTGGGGAAATACATGTTCCTTCTGCTCTTACTCGGGGCACTTATTCGATTTAAGGCATCTGGCCTCGAATTTTGGCGAAGAGGCTTCAAGAACCCTGTATACATGATCCCAGAGTTTCCCTGTATTGTTTTCTTTTCCATATGATTGTCGATTTATTGGGGGAATGTCTCGAAACCCCAAACCCAATACCCTCTCCTGAACCCTAGTTTGTGGGGAAGGGCCATTCATCATCGAATCACAAGTCTAATTCATTTTCCAGCCTCCTGCTACTTAACCCAAAAACCCCCAAACCCTAATCCTGAACCCCAAGCCACGGATCCTTGGGTTGGATTTTAGGGTCCTACCACAAATACTTACTGGGGGTTACTCTGGGAATAAGGGAATATGTTATATATAGGGGTTATATAGGTAGTATGTTCCCTCATTCCCTACGAACCCCAAATAAGAATACCCTATTCAGCTCAACGTTGTTTTTCGGCGGGCAGGCGTGCGATAGAACACCGCTTCACTAGTCGTGGCAGGCTCGAACTCGAAACCTCTGCCCGCGCCCAGCGGCGGGCTCTGTACAGTCTAGCGTTAAGCAGATTAGGGGGATTCCAAATGGGGTCCCTTTGCATTCCACCAATGCTTTATAAGCCTTACAATTAAGACCGCAAGGCCCACCCCTAAGTTTTGGAACCCCCCCCCCTTTTTGCATGTGCCACATGGGAAGGCCTGGAATCAGACTTGTGCAGCTGCTGGACCCTTAGGACGGCTGAGGTTGTCACAGGTTGGGGGCGCGGGTTACGCTCGCAGGGTTTCAGGTTTAGGGTGTCTAGCCTCAGAACCCTAAACCCAGGGATTCGGGTCTAGCGCGCTGGATTACCAAAAGAAGTGAAAATGCAAGAACATCTCGGCACATTCCCAAATAGAGAAAGCAAAGAGCACCTGCAGTATGGCAGTCACAGTGGCAAATCATTTTGGCGTTAGGGTTGAGGGTTGGGGTTTGGAGCTTGCAGTAGTGCGTCACGGCCAAAAAGTTGGAAGATAGAAAGGATGACTTGGGCTAGGGTAGGGAGATACGAACGATGGTCTACGTTTCACAGGGTTTGAGGCTTAGGCATCAAGTGCTTGGGATTTGGAGCTATAGGCAAAATCCAGAGGTTGAAATCCAAATTAGACCTTCGTTTTTGGCTTACCCTTCGTTTTGCATTGCTTTTGTCAAAGTCTTGGGGCCTTCGTTTTTGGGTTACCCCTTCGCTTTACAAGGTTTTTCTGCCCCTTATCGCCGAAGATTACTGGCTGAGGTGCAGCATTGTGCCTGTAGCTCAGCTTAGGGTTTGAGGCTTAACGATGGAGCCTTTAGGGTGTAGGGCTTGTGCATTAGCATCTAAGGGCCTAGGGATCTAGGGGTTGAGGGTCGGGGGTTCATGATTTGCGGCGGAATTGCTTGCTCATAATCGGATGTTCTTGAAGACCGGAGGCCTTAGGACCCCGGGGAAATGTGGGGAATACAATAAGATCATATCATTAAGGATTATGCAGGGGCTAGTTTTGAGAAATCCCATGACTCTTCGTGCTCTTTGCATCCTCAGCACGACATCGATCTACAAAGCAAGCAAGAGGTCCGACCGGGCTTCAGAACGTGAGGCTGCATACACTGCCAGAGGTTCCGTGCCAGATAGGGCCAGAATCGCTCGAGAAAAATGCTTCCAAATTCTCAGGGGCTTGACGTACAGAAACAATCCGTTTGGGCACCAGGTACGAGAACGACAGAGTGGCTCGTACCCCATATGAAGGGCATGGTACTGCTAATTAAGTATTCAAGCTTCTAGATTCTTGCCCCTGGGTTGCACACCCCTTTCTAGTGAGGAAGTGTCTAGACTGATGAAGTACCCGGGAGCTTGAGGAGCACTAGGTGTGACGGAATACTGGGGATGATCCCGAGCCTGAAACTCTATTCTTTTGTGGGACTCTTGTCCTTTGGTTGGGCTGCCCAGCAATTAGGGAAAAGACTACTGACGGAGAGCCAGACAACCCCAAACCCTGAACCCATGTACCCCAAAGAGGGGTGGGGTGCAAGTTGGAGGAGTCTTCAGGTATGAAGACGACAGAGTGAAGCTTACATGCCTGCTTCCCTTTGTCTTTCAATACTCTAGACAGGTCCCTTGTTGGGATATGGTCATTCAAAACTTCATTGTTCATCGCTTACTGGGCCTTTCAATAAAAGGAAATGATTATTTTTGGCCTGCAACGGCCTAGAAGGGAATTCCTGTCCTGCAGGACATCTACTTCATCCGGTCTCCCCTCTAAACGCAAACCGGGGAGTTTCCAGGAGAGCCCCAACATGGAAAAACCAAGCAAGGTAATCAAAAGCAGATCCAACAAAATTAGGGTTCCATCTTTGGGGTTTGTAGGGCGCAGACCTAGTAACGTAACAAGTCTTAAAGAACATGGGCACAGAGTGTGTCCGAAATGCAGGGATTCTGCATGTACTACACCTCCTGCAAGACTGCGAATTTGGAAACACAACAGTGAGCCATCAGCCTCACTGTGTTTCAACAGTATAACCTCAGTTGGTCCAGGTTTCAGGGTTGCTCCCGTACCCCTTGCTTAGGGTTGGTTAGGTCAATGAGGGGAAACAGTAAAAGCAAGTCCTTTTGTACCTTGGGAAGTTCCAGCTTCGAATACAAACACCAAGCAGGTAGAGGTTTAGGACCAACACCCTCAACAGGGTGTTCTGCGGGGTTAAGATGTCTTAGAAAAACAAGGTGTCTCTTCCTAGCAAGATACGAGGCTTCGCATTTCTGGCAACAGAAGCGTCCCTGTTTCAAGATGTACTCAGTGACTTGCGGGCGTCTCTTCTTCCTAAACCCTTTATGCCCTAGACCCGAAGCCTTAACCCTAAACCAACCCTATATTAGCCCTAAACACCAAACTGTAAAGCTTCAGACAGGGTCCACCCTTCGCCCATGCATTGACTCTGGAATTCAACCAGGCTGATGAAGCGCTGATTGCAGGAGAAACGCGGTTTAGGGTTTAGGGCAAACTCAAAAGCCGACGCCTTCTGCGAGACTTCCGAATACGGTACCACCGCATCCACAACTGAGGCTCTTGGTTGGATCCGATGCGGCTATACTGGGTTTAGGATGTAGGGTTTAGGATTTAGGCCTCCAGCTCAGGGTTTGTTTTGGCTATACTGGGCGTATCTGACGTCGTTTGGTAGGTCACTGATCTGATGAGCTTGGTATACTAAACTGTCATAAGTACCTCTGGTGGTATATATGCTTTGACAGGTCACTGATATACGGATGATCTTAGTAAACTAGTCTGCCATAATTACCTCCTGTGGTGTATGATATTACCCTGATATTACCCTAAACCCCGATAAACCCTAAAGCCTAACGGCCACGGCAGGAAGTGTAGTATCAACCGTATGACGCGGAAACAAGTCAGAAGCGTTACCCTCGAAGCATGAAGAAGCAGCAACATGATCCCCTTGTGCTTCTATCATAAATGGACTGCAATATGTGAATAGTTCCCAAATTAGGGTCCCATTTTGGTACCCCTGAATATTGGGTGCCGAAATATAATCTATAACCAACAGTGGCGATGGGTTTAAGAACAACCCATGTCCCCCCCCAAAACCCTGTACAACACAAGCGCGAAGAAGGTCAGAGAAGATTTGGAGGCTATGGGTTATGGGGCTCAAGGCCAAAACTGGAACCTCGAGAACCCTGCCATGACGACACCCCAGCAATATGGTAGTTTCCCAAAATAAGGGGACCCCGGTATAGACCCAAATATGTCATAACAAGGGGACCCCCAAAAAGGTACCCCTAAATTTTAGGAAAAACATCCACATTCCTGCGAAAGGCTTACCTTGTTCTCAGGTCATACCATAAAATGTCTTTTTGGGGGCCGGTGGAGGGAGAGTCTGATCTTAGCAAAGAAGGACGGCCAAGCAGCCAACATCGGCCTTCTTGCCTTCAGGCTCCAAGACCAAGACCTTTAAAAGGGGTCAGATAGTCATGCACAAGGCCCTGGATTTGGTTCAAGGTGCAGAGCTTGCAGTTCCGGGGTAGCCTTGAGGACCCCAGTAATAGGGGTTACAAAGGGATTAATGTTGCACTCCTTTTTGTCAAGCGACTCTGCTTCGTTTGTTTCAGCCACCGCTTAATGAGTTTCGGACGGTTGTTTCGCGACTCTCTTTAACGTGTTTTCGTTCTGGGCCGCTAACCGACTCCAGACCATCCCCTTTCAAGTAATCTCCGGGGCCTACCCAGAGCTCTCAATACCACGGGAGCCTTTTTTGAGGAACGGCCTTGCCGAGAACCCCACCCCAACGAAAAAACGACAACTGTCCATCACACTCGGATCAAGTATCGCTCTATAAACAAAACCATAGGGAAAAAAGAAAAGCCACCAAGAGCGAAACTGCCGGAAAAGACCGTCTAGGATTTGCAGGACCCGCGCAGGCCCCGCGTGTACCCACACCATTACAAATTTTCTGGTGGCCCCCATTGTTAGGGTGGGGGCGGCATACACTAAACAGAGTGCAACATTATGAAGGATCCTGGGTACCTACTCAGCACTGTGTTTCAGAAAGCGGCCATAGCTCCCCCTCGACCACCTACCCTTCCCCACACCAATGGCACAGCCAGCCTTTCGACCCCCCAAGCAACGAAAGAAAAAAGATGCCGACATCAGGCAGAGCTCTTCAGAAATATCCCTGGAGAATCGCTCACAAACATGAGTAACTCGCTGTCCCCAGAACTCCTTTGCGATGTATCCCTTAGCCAATTAATGCCCAATGTTTTTGAGAAACAACGCAATCCAGGCAACGTTCAGACCTGAAGCCTCAACAAAAAAGGCCTAAAACCACAGCAGGCCAACAGCAGGATCAAAATTAAAAGCCGTTGCACATCCCAAACTTTAAGATCAAACCTTCTAAGTCACACAACATAAGTTATTCATGCATACCCTAGCTCCCTCAACCCTAAACCTGAGGCCTTCAGAATCTCAAGCCCTACCCTAGACCCTAAACCCTAGCCCACGCGCAAAACTTCGCAAATTTCAAACCTAAGCCTCCCTCATGGTTGACTCCTTCGTGGTTTGCTTCTGAAAATCATGTGTTTGTCTGTGTATGTCTTATTAAGTTTTCGTAGACCGAAAACCCCTCATAGATCCGCGAGAGCGGCCAAAGGCTCCGTACTCCATGTAATCACTCGCCGCCACATGCGGACAAAGTACCTTTGAGGAAAGAAGGAAGGGATCAGGGTTTAGGGCTAGGGTGTATAGTTTCAGGGGGAGGGGAGGGTTGTACGTGTGTGTGCGTGCGTGTGCTAGTTTTGCTCTCTTGGGGCTTAGCGTTCAGGATTGGAACGCCTGATAACAAGAACGACAGCGCCTGCTTGTTGGGTAGCGCGGGTTGCGGGCTTTCGTTTGAGGATTTGGCCTAAATCGTTTTGGCTGGGGCTCAGAAGCGTAGGGTCTTGGAGGAACCCGAAAGGAGCTATACTAGGGTGTATAGAGGGATAATGGAAAAAGAAAGGGGAATCTACTTGATTGTAATAGGGTGTATATAAATAAATATATATATATAGAGCATCTGACCATGTCTCACCATTCCCGCTTCTCCTACTAACCAGGAGCTAGGTGCTGATCACGGAGTGCATCCCGCCACATCATGCCTCCCAAGGCTTCAGGGTTTACTGGGTTGCTGATA